GTCTTGGACCACACAGTTGTCGACCACTGGCTGAAGAGTAATGACCACGAAGCATTCAACATGTCACGTCAGCTAATTAAAGAAGAGGGTCTTCTGTGCGGTGGTAGCAGCGGTGCTAATTGTATTTCAGCTCTCAAATTTGCAAAAGATTTACCAGCTGACAAGCGGGTTGTCGTTATTCTACCCGATGGCATCCGAAATTACATGACCAAGTTCGTTTCTGATCATTGGATGGAGGGAAGAGGATTCATGGTAAAAAAATCCGTAAATTATTCCTAATTTTTCATGAAGTTATGGCGTTTTGAACGTAAAATCTTCATTTTCATTTTTTACCTAAATTTCGACATTATTTTAATTTTTCTACATTTCCGAAGTAGATGAATAGAGATACTTGTATACTATTTTCAAGAACATTTCTTGGCCTTTGAAATGAAACCAATTGTATTGCTAGAGTTATTTAAGGTTTTTCCATTTTTGGCCGTTAAATCAGGATTCAAAATTCACGCTTAGTACTAATTACCGTAGCATTCGATATAATTTTCAAGGGATTATTATTATTATACAATTATAGTTACTCAAAAAACTTTTTCGTCATATTGTTTATCATTTCAAAGCTCTAAACTCTTCTACTCATGAATTATCGCTTTTTTACAAGATAAATAACATTTTTCCTTGAATGGATGTTCTAGGAACCTCCAGCACCAGTGGAAGGCAATAAATGGTGGTGGAATCAGCCAGTGTCCTCCATGCCCATCGTCAACCCCTCACCTTTGCAAGAAGACACAACTTGTCAGGAGGCCCTCCACCTTCTAAAGGCGCAGGGAACCGATTTCATTCCAATAACCAATAATGATGGCCAAATAAAAGGCTTCCTCACTTCAAATACTCTAATGACTGGGCTGATCAGTGGTTCTGCTAAGAAAACCGATCCCGCGAAAGAGCTCATTACCTATTTCTTCACGAAACTCAATATAAATGCAACTCTTGGCAGAGCATCTCGTGTTCTTGAAAGAGAACCCTTCGTCCCAATCATTGACGAGAGTCAAAATTCTAAGCTAGTTGGAATCATCACTCAGAAAATGCTGTTAGAATATATTTCTAAACACAACGAATCTCAGAGTAATGGAAGTAATGGAACCATCTAAACTGCTATTGATGATTTTCTTCGCAAATTTTCTAAAAGAGCATCATCCAGTTTTCTATTGGTAATATATCAAGAATAACGAAAATCTAGGGACCTTTTTCATCAATCATAAAAGCTCCAAACGATATAGTTTTAAATTCCTCAGATTATGGAAATAAGACCTGTACGAGAATGTTGGATTTGGCTCTTTTTACCTTTGATATAGATACATTTTTTTATATCTGTTGAAATGTTTTTCATGCTAATTCAAATCAGAGATTCTGAATTTTGTAAAGCATTTCACGCCATTTTTTATAATGCATTGTTATTTTCTAATGAAATTAATTTTGAATGTTTATAGAGTGGAGGGAGATTTTCAATTAAAGGAAAACATATTATTGTCCTTAAATTTACACCATTTTGTCATAATATATCAAATTGCTGCTCTAAATAATTTACAGTGTGTGTTTACTCATCTATAATCTTGAAGTAATCCCCAATTGTTTGTATTGAGTAATAAAATAGTAAAACGAAATGAATCAATTCAATCAAAATGAAAGTTCTATGAAAATGAGAAAAAAAAAATTTTAATTAAAAATTTGAAAAGAATGCACATCTTGTAATAAAAAATTGATTCTGAATTGGAATCTATAAATTTTGCTTTAGTGTTATGATACCCTTGCAATGCTAGTATTAAATTAAACCCTTTGTACCTCAATATGAAATTTACAACTAGGTAAGGAAGAGATTTCTGCTTTGACAATACTAACAATTCCAAGATTAGCAAGACTTCCTCTCAAAAGGCCACAGGTAAAAGCCAAAAGCTTTGGACACTCCCGTAAATACTGTTTACTGTCTTTAGCTCCAATGTGCACTAATAAACGAAAGGCATTATCCTGAAGCATGTAGGTCCCATGATGATTGGTCTTCAAATTATCGATCTGTTTTTGGTAAAGACTCGACCAAAAATCGGTGCAGATGAATTTGATCATATCCAATTCATCCTTGAATCGAGACCATTCTCGAGTCAATCGTTCGATCACTCGATATCCAACGCCGAAACCCATCCATTCCAGTTTAGATAATTCTTCCTCACCTTCCTGTAGATTTGTGAATAATCATTTGTTGAAAGTATCATCAATTGGATTCTATGAATTACACATTTTAGCGATATATTTTTTTCATAGATGAGATCACAATCATAGCGCTGCGGATGAAAAATTCAATAACAAATACCTCTTCTTTTCTTCGAAGGGCGCTTAGGTTTCATTACGAGCTTTAAGAATTCTATAAATTTATCTTTTTTTATTGAAATTTTCTTAAAAGTTCGATTAGTTTTTCGAAAGAAAGATAGAATTCCAAGTAATGTTAACCGTATGCTGAATTATAAGACTCAGGACAACTACAAAGAATTATTAGAAAACTTGCTTACATATGAATTCTTCATTGTTAAAATTTTATTTTGTATTGTTTTTTCTTATATGAACATCAGCATTCGCATGGTGATATGGACTGAAACAAGCTGGAGACAATTTTTATCTCTCATTAAATTCTGAAGAAAAACTAATAGGAAGTCAGCAAATATCCTATAGAATTTCTATAAAATATCTTTATGCATGCATCTTCACCAAAAATATGAATTTTACATCATGGAATTATTATTATTATTATTAATTCACTGCAGAAAAGATGAATTGCAATTACCTATAAATGATCAGCCATGAAATAACTTACTTTATTACTTGTCGTGGTAGTCATAACATAATTGACAATTTCAGCATGTAAATATTCGAACAAACATTCATCAGCTTCCCCTGAGCCCACGGGATTTGGTTTAGATTCTGCTAATTGCGGCTTCATGATTAATTTCAATGGATTCTTCGTTTTGTCCAGTTTTATATCTATTGTAAAACCCCTGAATAACTCAAACAATCACTGCTAAATGTTTATCAGGAGTTTAACACGTTTTATCACCCATTTTTGGACGTTGACCAATTCTGGGGAATTTCCTAGTGATTTCTGACTGACAGGCCAATGCGCATGCGCAGATGATTGATATTATCAGCTCAAGACTGTCAAGAGTCGTGGATTTGGAGGGCGGACGTCTCTCATCTTGTAGACAGAAAAATTAATACTTTTGCATTTGCTGATCGTCATTCAAACAATTAAACAATGGTAAATATATCCCAATGCTTACCAAATCGTATTGTTTGCTAGTTCCTCGTATGACCTTGAGATTCAAGTCGAAAAACTAAGTGAAGCACTTTTTGGAGCAGATGATAAGGTTTTGACAGTCCTTATTATCACCCATCCGTTTATTGACTTTCTATGAGTTAATTAATAATCGGATGCAACCTTCTATTCATTTTCAATGACCTTTTAGAGGATTTGTTTAGAATGATTGTTTATTTTAGGAGTAATGGTGATTTTTATTCGATTTGATTTGCAGATTCGATTCATTTTGATTCAAAACAGAGCTGGCAAGACCAGATTAGCAAAGTGGTATATGAACTTTGATGA